GGAAAGAACACGCTGCTCGCAGAGGTCGAAGGCCCTCAGTTGCCAACAGAAATATAATGTAATGAGTAGAAGGCATTTACTTCTGAAAAAAAAAAGGAAATATCTGTGATCTAAAGCTTGCTCCACAGAATGAATAGGATGCCTGACTTACTCCCCGTGGACATAAGTGCAAAAAGTGGTCCTCCAGTGCTTCACTGTATGATATTCACAGTAGCCCAGACATATGAACAGATGCTGACAATGGAAAGAAAGGTCCCTCAGCATGAATGTTCTTGTCCTTAAGGATACTGGAAGACTGAAGAGCTGGGACAGGTCTGTTGAGAACAATGTTCTGATACCTGAAAAAAATGTTTTCCTAGATATTAGGGATGATTTTATCTAGATACCGAAGTATCCATTCTAATCCCATGTACACCCAGCTAAATTTTGATCAACCAACACATCTCATCTACAACTAAATCCTGACAGTCTGTGTACAAGAGACATTTCTCCAGCTGTTTCGTCAGCAAGGTGCACACCCAGTGGTATTTGTAGGGCATCTGTTTCTGTCATGGAAATATTAAAGCTGGAAAAGACCACAAAATGCAGCCAGTAGACACATAATTGAAGGAAGATGTTCTAGGAAGATGACTTTATGCTGCTAACAACATAAAGTTATTAAGTTATTTAGGTGGCTTCCATCCCACATCACTCATACAAATTACACAGTGTTAAAATCCTTTTTCTGGATTAAAAGCATGACTTCGTAAGGTATAAATGAGGTTAACTCCTCTCTGCAGATATTACTCTTGGCAAAAGTCTGTCTCATCTCAGGAGTAAGGGCATTCTTATGGATCCAATTAGAGAAAAAACACTGTCTGGCAAGGAAGAATAAAACCTATAACACATGTTATTATACAATGGCAGCTGGAATAGAATTTTCTCTTATGGGAGCGTGTGAGCTTAATGTGAAAGTAGAAACTGGGCTTGTCAGACTTAATTAGAGTGAGAGAAATGGTTTACGGTCAGAAACGGCATACATTATCCACTCCTGTCTGCTGGGGCTGTGCCAGGCTCACAGGATGATGGGACAGCACCCAGCACTGAGGCACATCCACACAGGCAAATGTTCACACCACGAGCTTCTCACTGGTGATGATGATGGTGAGAGCACTGTGGACTCACGCTGTAGTTAAAACATTATCTCATCCCAGTGACCAGATGATAGTTCACCAGAAAGTCTCAAAGCATATGCTAATTATGAGCCAGGAAAAGGCCCTCTGTTAGACATGGGATATAAGCCAGCATGTCGCAGCTTAACATACACATATTGAAGGCTAGTTTGGAAATTAAGAAGGGTCATCATGGGTAATACATCAGATCTGTCCACCTGAAATACATAAATGGCTGTTAGATACGTTAGTATCTAAGTGCCTCATAGCACTCACCTAAGCTAGAGATTTCCTCTTATTCCCAATTTACTTGGAAGACTATAGGATTTCAGTGGGATCTAGATGTTCAGATACCCTTCTAAAACCTACCATTGGGACATACACGTCATTGTGTGAGAATGGTCTCTGAAGGGCTGCCAGGTGTGTGCCCATGAGATGTTGGACTGGGAGTGCACTCTTATTGGCACGCTGTCCTGCTGTGTTTATTTGGGCACAAGAGCTCACATAGCTTTGCAGTCAATGTAGAAAGAGGTGCAGATTTACTGTCTGTGTAGGATAGTAGTAAAGATAGGAGTAGTACTACTTTACAGTAGTAAAGAACTGTAGTATTCCCACTGGTACCATGCACTGAATCAGGAGTGCACCTCCTTTTCTGAGTTAGGATCCTGGATCATGATGGTGGGGGGATATTTCTCCACGTAACAGCTTTCAAGATGACTTCAAGGCAATTTTGTTACCCTTAAACTTCTGTAAATCTTAATAAATCAACGCAGAATCACAAGGTGGTGGAAAATCTTTAGAGAAAAAGTCAACAAAAGGGGCACTTAGCAACCTGCCTGATCACAAATGTATTTGAGACAATTCTATCACAGGAGAACTTATGAAGTGTGAGCAAGAGACTCAGAGGGGCTTTCCACATGCTTTATTTTGTGAGCATGACTAAGTCATTTTATCCATTTCTCAGCAGCTAGATACAGGATAATATTCTCATCTTTTGCCTTCTGCCACTTTATTTTATGTTTCCAAGAAAAGAAGCTGCCCTGAAGACTGATTAGGGCTTAAATATCAAATGAATTCTCCTGAATGAATGTTCCTGAAAATACAAAAGTAGTTCACTGCATGTCCTCTTCTGCACCAAATCTAATATTGCTACTTGCCATACAGACTAAAGATCTTGGCTTTTGACAGTAAAAGTTGTTGGGGCAAGAGGAAAGAGAAGCTTGTAAAATTTTTAATTTTCATTTTAAAGGGGTTTTTCCACCTGACGCAAAACAAAATGCACATTTCTTAATAGAACACAAGAAAATCCCTGCTTTTCCACCTGACATGGTTATTCATGTCATCATGCTCTTAAGTGAAAGGACATCATGTACTCTGCTAAAGACCAGGAAGGATTATGTCCCTCTCTTCTTGAGGCAAATGTACAAGTGGTATCTTGGACTCAGATGTATGCAGTCCTTTGAAATTTGATTTGTTCCCTGGTCCGGTTGCCTGTTATGCAGGGTGGAAGTGGGTGGAACTGTCATGTTGATGTCCCCATTGGTGACCACATGTATTTCAGGAATGCTCTGTAATACAACCTAGCTCATTGTTGACAGCCAGAACTTTCCATGAAGTCCACAGGCTCCTTTTCTTCTCTTTGGCTTGCTTACTTAATGTTGGTCCATTAGTGAAACAGGTGTGCCTGGAGTGGAAGGAGGCATCACTGCACCAAACTGCATCCTTCAGGCAGAGCAGAAGAAGGCACTTCCTAGGGAAGAGATCTCTTGCTGCTGTCTGCAGGCTGTCCTTATATATTCATCATTGCTTGGTATATTACCCAAGGACAAAGATCTGACCAACTTCTAAGCAGGCACTGTGCCATCATAACAGATGAGCATAAATGGGGAAGCCAAGAAGCCATGTATTTGCATCTAGTGTGTTTAAGGGTTAGATTCCCATCCAGGAACGTCGCAGCAGCTGTCCACCCTCAGTTTACGTGCCTATAGTTTAGGGGGATCTGCCATCACTAATCCAGCTTCAGAGCTGGTTTAACTTTCAAAAATTAAAAATAGCACTCGCTGCTCCATATGGAAAGTAAGTCTTGACCCATTCACATCAAGGGGTTGTGTGGGTGAATGGAGGGGGGCTAGCATCAAAGAATGGCAGGGCAGGGAAGTGCATTGACCTCCATTTGTCTTTTTGTTGGGAACCACTGTAGGATTGTATTAGGAATGCCTCCACACACACTGGCTCTGGTCAAGGTGCCCAAGGCAGGGTTTGGGCTCTGTAGAAGATCTCTGTTTCCCTGCATCAGAGAGATCCAGATTCTGCCATCCCATTCCACTCCACCCTATGCTCCATGCTGTTCCATGTCAGATCTGGTAGTTAAAAATTTACATTTTAAATCTTAAATGGCCTATATTTAAAAGTGTCTAAGGTCTGGATTTCAGATTTCACTACTGACACACCTCACTGAAGAACTTAACTTCTCAAAAAAAGATTATCTGGTATTGCAGGTATGTGGATGCAGCTCTTTCCAAGAAAGAAATATTTTTCTCCAACTTAAATTATTGCATTGTAAGAGTATTTAGAGCCTCAGAGCTAGAACTAATAAAGGATTAATTGATAGAAAAAAGTCAGCCAATGGAGAATGTACCTTAGAAGTTTAGCTGTTTGAGAGGAGTCTGGATCTCTGATCTGAGGACTGTGGATTTTGTGTTTCACAGATTACTTAAGAAAGGATGTGAGCCGGTCAACACAGGAGAAACCATGCTAATTAAATCCAAGGTAAGATTAAATACAGGTCAGTGTTTGCCATCTTGCCAACTCCTGAAACCTCTAGTGGTGATAGCCCAAAGGCTAAAGCATCTTGATTCATTTCCAATGCAAAGCGTGGAACATTACACATCAATCTCTGTAATGCAAATATGTACCAAACATTACCAAAGCTCAGGTTTTATCCTACTCTCATAAAAGACTATTCTTTATCTAACAAGATATCCAGGGAAGATGGCTGCACCTTTTCATACCACATGATCTGAGTGGGAGCTCACCCTGGAAGCTCTCCTCTCAGTGATTGACCCTGCAGGGTTCCAACATGAATGAGGTGTCTTGAAGAAAGGAAATGTACTCATCAATACAATTGGGTCTATAGCTTAGGACTCAGAAGAGCAAAATATTACACACAGGCACATCCTAGATACCTGGACTCTTTTGGGATTTAGATGCTCAAAGATTCTGTGACCCTAAAATATTTCATCTTTGAAATCTTATTGGGCAAATGTTGCAATAATAATAATAATAATAATAATAATAATAAATTAAAAAATAAAAATTAACAATAAATTAACCAAAATCCTATTTTTAAAGTGACTTAAGCTTAGTGACTTGAGATTTAGAGTTTGGTTGTACAAAAACGTCATCACAGAGTGAACCAGAAGGTGACTTTATTTCGGTGAAGATGAACATGAAATTCAGCATGTTCTTACCTGTGGTAGCGTGTGAAGTAGATCAAAGCTGTCTTTGTGTGATTAGCTGTCACACTGGAGTGCTCCCACATAGAGTTGTCACAATGCATCCCCCGATCTGTACACGCAGTCTTCTCATGCCTTGCCCATGGGAACATGTTTTGGGTCTTTACCCCTCAAACACAGCTGGAGATGTTTTCTATCACCTGAAACATCTTCTCTTTTCCACCTTTCTCTGCTATTGCTTATTTTCATTTTTTTTCAGCATTGCAAATTAAGTCCCATATGGTACGTGAATTTGGAGCTCACATGAGAGAAATGCAGCAAAACTTGAAATTGTGTCACAGAGTTTTCCAGGGGCCCTTGTGCACTCCATTATTATGTCATATTTGCAGCTTACAAGTGACCTGTTGGGATACGCCCACCACAGTGTAGTTATCACAGCCATGAAAACTAACACACCTCACTGTGGTATGTGAATTCTTCTGAATTACTGAGTTTCAGACCATAGGGTATGAATAGTGTGTGTGTGTGAGAGTTTTCCATATTTTCTAAGAGGAGAGATCATCTCAGTGTTTATTGTATCTCTACAAAACAGATCTATCTACACAACAGTTAAGTTGCCACTTTAGGGTGCTCTTTGATTCTAGCTCATCCTTTTTGTCACAGCTGATGAACTTCCCCTAGCTCTACTCCCATAATCTCAGTAAATTCTATAGTTCTGAGACTACTCACCATGTGCAAGCACTGTGTGCTGCAATGTAAGCCAAAGAGAGTAATCTCTGTTGCAAAAACAATTAACAGAACAGGAAGAAAGGGGCCAAAAGATAAATAAATGTTAATTTGGCAGAGTTATTGGAATATGTCAATGGCAATTTTTAAAATATTTTATTACCTGTGTTATTATATGCATTCTGATGGTGCCAAGGCATCCAGAAGGTGTGTAAGGGCAACACTTTCATAGAGTTTTTAATCCAGGAATTCAGGAGCTCTCACAGTGTAGGATTTACCCAGTCTCCAGCCACTGCCTAAATAAAGGCATGCTGAAATTTTGTGATACTCATCATTGATCTCATATCATGTGCAATATTTCTTAAACTTGCAGATCATGTAGTTAAAAATGAGGCCAGATTTGTAAAAATGAGTGAAATCCATCAAACAAATTGTTTGTTGAGGTCAACATATGAACATTACTTGAAGTAGGGAGGGATACCCTTTTGTTCAGATTCAACTTTTACCATCAGTTCATGCTTACCTTCTTGGTAGCTTAGTGGTTTTCAGTCTGTTAGCAACAGCAGACTGCCTTCCCCAGAAATGGCTGTAATCTCTCCCCCTCAAGGAATGGTTAAGACATTCTGCGGAGGAATTACGACTTATTAACTCGGGAGCAGCATGGGGAAAGTCAGAGTTATTCTTCATCCAGGCCTGAGTGGGGATGTCCACAGCACCATCCTGCTTCACACCCTCTGACTCCTGCTGGCAGTGTGGCCAGTGCAGCTGCTGGCATCCGGCCCTGGCATCTGGAGTGCTTGGGTTTGATGCTTGAAGAAAAGGCCTCTGTTACAACAAAACAGAATAAGACTTTGCTTTCTGGAACTTTCTGAACTTGCTCTATTCCCCAGCCACCGTAACACTCCAGCAAATACTTTCTGAGCCAGTTTTCACACTGCTTCTAGGAACACACAGAATATTCAACCAAAATATCATGTGTCATCTATTTGACCTCTTGGCATTCATTGACATAAGTTTACCTCATAGCTACTATTTTCCTAATAAATTATGTTTAGGGTTTGTTTTTCAAGCTTCAATGGAAAATCCCAAATTGTGTCATTACAAGAGTAAACACTCCTACACGCTAAACATGTTCTGCTTTCCATTGCTCTGCTGCCAATGTCTGGGGGTGACAAAAGGCCTGAGAATGCTGAGTGTCAAGAGTAAAGTACAAGAGAGCTGCAGCCAACGTGGAGTCTGGAGCTGTGTGTTACTGCAGAGCTGAGTAGCTATTGCCTGATCCATCTACAAGAACTCAATAATCAAAGCTTTCCTCTTAATTGACAAATGTAGCTGTTCCTGTGCTGATGAGCTGCTGGATGCCATGGGAGTGGTGGATGCACCATGGTCAAGAAACGTGGAGATGTAGCACTGAGGAACATGGTTAGTGGACATGGTGGGGATGGGTTGAAAATTGGACCTTAGAGGTCCAAATTGGATCTTAGAGGTCTTTTCCAACATTAATGTTTCTATTATTCTAAGGGCTGCTCTTCCACAAAAGAGATAAATTTAATCTGCAGAATGCCAAGTAGATCACAGAGTCTGACGTGCGCATCTTAAACATCTGCACGGTGGACAGTTTTGGACCAGCCTGGAGGAGCAGCGGTGCACCATAATTCCCTGTTTTTTCACCATCTGAACCCAAGCTCTGTCTTTCTGAAAGTCTGAACTCAGAGCAGCATTTCAAGGAAATGAAGGGATTGAATTCCAAAAAGGCCTTGGGAATGCAGCTGGGTGATAAGGTGCCTGAGCTCGGCACACAGGCTTGGCTGAGGTGCTCCACACTCTTGTCAGGGGCCACCTGACACAGAAGGTGTCTAAATTTCTGTCAGAAAGCATAAGCAAATCTTCCAAGTCCTGGAAGTGCTGTGATACCTGGATATATGCATTAATCTCAAGGGATTCCCATACCAGCTGTTCCTCTTTCTCTCTCCTGCCTGAGAACCAAAGTATGGGAGCATTTAGATTCATGCTCATCAGAAAGTGTATGTAGGGGTATATGACATGCATGTCAAGGAGGGGCAGGGAGGGATGAGATAGAGAAAGAATATGGTTTCCAAATCTTGGATTCAGTCTCCCGTATTTTAGCCATGTTTTCACTACGTGGCGGTGCAGGAGAGTTGGAGGAAAGGCAGACCAGCCTTGCAGACCAGACAGTAGTGTAGGACTCGGGGCTAAGTTATGTACTTAACTGCACGGCAAAGTTTAATTTGCTGTGTCAGTTTGTCCCCTCTACCTCTAGGATCTTCTTTCACATTTAAATACAATTTAAGCTGCAGAGTCGTTATCTGAAACATATTCCAGGGCCAAGCTATTGTGCGAGAAATCAAAACGTATCCTTAAAAGGCTGATTCTTTAAGACAGGCCTTTCCTCCAGGTACACTGTTTTTACCCCATTGATTTCATCGGCTTTTTCCATGTGGAGCCAACTCTGAGATCTGACCAATGAATCTGAGTTCAAGCAGGCTGTGTCCTCGGCTGCCTGTGATTTCCTGGGTCTTTCTGAAGCAGCAGGTGAACATCTAAGATCTCACTGTGAGATCTTGGTCTCATCAAAATAAGTGACACTTTTGGAAAAGAGAAGGGTCTCAGGAGACCTCACGTCGTATAAACAGGAGGGGGAATGGCTGTTTATGAGGGTGGATAGTGATAGGACAAGGAGGAATGGTTTTAAACTGAGACAGGGGAGGTTTAGGTTAGATATTAGGAGGAAGTTTTTCACACAGAGAGTAGTGACACACTGGAACAGATTGCCCAAGGAGGCTGTGGATGCCCCATCCCTGGAGGCATTGAAGGCCAGGCTGGATGTGGCTGTGGGCAGCCTGGTCTGGTGGTTGGTGACCCTGCACATAGCAGGGGGTTGAAACTAGGTGATCATTGTGGTCCTTTTCAACCCAGGCCATTCTAGATTCTATGACAGAACTGACAAACCTTCTATTGATTTTCCTCAGTGAATGCTTTTGCTAAAAGCAATTAGATCTCAATAACAGAAACATAAGATGTGTCTCAAATACTGATGTGGTCAAAGTGTTCATGTTGAAATGAGAATCCTTTTGCAGAGATGTCTCACTGGAAAGAAAGTGAGTCAGCTTTGAGAAGGATTCACTCAATGCTTTCATATTTATATTATGCTTTCAATTGCCCAGAGAAGTTGTGGATGCCCCATGCCTGGAGACATTCAAGGCCAGGTTGGATGGGATCCTGGGCAGGCTGATCTAGTGGTTGGCAACCCTGCCCATGGCACAGGAGTTGGAACTAGGTGATCTTTAAGATCCCCTTCAACCGAAGCCATTCTATGATTCTATATGCAGAGAATTACTGGACGTGGCGTTTGAATTACCTCCTCCCAGCCCTCAAAAGGGCTTCTCACAAGGTGAGCATTCAGATACCTCTTTCTCAAGCTGGGCACATCACAGCAGAGTTTCCCAAAACTGCTAGTCACTTCAGAAATGCTTGGCTCTGTGTTCTGTCTTGAAAGCTTTTCTTGACGTATCCAAAGATAATCTCTAGTCTGCCAGAAGGACTTTGGAAACAAAATATTAACCTTTCATTTTTCGTTTCTGTCTCTACTGAGTTCAGTTGTGCTCTTAGGTAAGAAGCAGCTTGCTTGTGCTAGGAGCTGCTTTGCTCAAGCCTTGCACATTCCCAACTGTTTTTGCAAGGAGAGAAAAACCAGCTCCCCACCAGGATGACTGCTTCAGGGGAGCAAGAAAGGGGATGGCAGCTTGCTAAGGTGAATTTTTACACTCTTTGAGTTTTGTCTGTTCTTTCTCTTCATGCTGATTGCCATCCAAGACATATTCAATCTTGCTCTGTAAAAGGAATACTTTAATAACTCAATGGCTCATTCACCTAGCAGAACTCAGATTTTCCAAGGAGAAATGCCAAGGTGGGTCTGAGAATCTACATGCAAATAGGTCATGGGATATGTGTGACAACTTCATGGCTCTCTATAACACTGTTATTGTGAGAACAGCAACATACTTTTGTGTGTTAATGCAATGACTGATCCATTTTCCAGAAATCCTTACCTTATGATAGATAACACAAGCATAGATGTAAAATACAGTGCTTATTCATCCCCACACAAACCCAGCTGTAGTTTCACAGTTCGTAACAATAGTATGTAAAATTTTAGAGCTGAAACTGTACTTCTCCCACATACTGATGCTGCCTGCTGTAGATGTTGTCACAAGCTGCATGAAGGTTAGAGCTGTGTGGCTAGGTAAGAAATGGGATGCCACCTTCACCTGTTAATGGAAGGTGACCAGCTGTATACTGCATCAGTGGCCTGATTCACCTTCACTTTTCCAGCTGTTCGCAAATAAGATCATAGAATCATTAAGGTTGGAAAGGCCAATAATACTGTCTAGTCCAACCATCAGCCCATGCCTGTTACCACTCTAGACCATGTCACTCAGTACAAAAATTACCCTTTTCTTGAACACCTCCAGGTATGGTAGTTCTACCACCTCCCTGGCAGCCTGTTCCAATGCACTGTCACTCTTACTGTGAAGAAATTTCTCCTAATATCCTCCCTGGTGCAACTTCAGATCATTACTTCTTTTCCTATTGACAACATCTTCAACAACTGAACTTGCCTGTACATTTCTTCAGTGCATTAAGGAATAGAGCATCTACTAGTATTGCTCCCTAGAAAGACAAAGGAATTGTTCACTGAATTGAGCAGGTGAGTAAAGTGACTGAATTGGAAGAAAATGGTATCAATATGGACACATGCCAGACCAGTTAATAATAGTAATATGAATAAACAAGCACCATCAGTATGAAAAAAGAGCTGGAGTGAAAGACTAATAAAGAAGAAAGCAACACTTAAACATAGCTCTGTAAATAAATACTCTGTTTAATGGGACAGAAGGATCCAGAATGAAGAAAAGTGGAAAGGGTGTAACTACAAACATTGGGATTTAGGAGGTGTGAGCAGGGAGAAGAAGGCAGATCAAAAAGGGCAGCTCTAAGAAAAATGGGAGCAGAGTCATAGGAAAAGAAAATGGAAAACTGAGAGTGTAGCAGGACAAATAATGAGATCTGGGGTAAAATCACAACTTGCAGAGAGGTTATACCTCACCTCATGGCACAACAGTTGGATAGAAAAGATAGTTTTGCAAATAATGCATTGTAAGGGGATAAAACAGCAACAGTTTCAGATGGCAGTAGGCCATGTGGTCCATCTACCCACTATATCTGTCCACCATGGGATGTATTTTCTCTCCAAACACCAGACTGACTCATGCCTTAATGTGTTTGCAGTTGCACAACTGCCTTTGGATGTCTCTGAAGCATGCAGACATTTCTTTTAACCTCCAGCCTCAGCCGCTGTTTATGAGCTTTTGATGGTGTTGTTTTGCATGTTTGAGTAAGTGAGAGTCAGACCTCCTGACCCTGTGGGCTGGAGGGGACCCTTCTCCTAACTTGTCCAGGGATTGTTAGCTCCATTTAACAATATAACTGTCCCAGGGCAAAATCCAGTGCCACTGGAGCCACTGGGATGGTTGCCATTAGTTCCAATGGATCCAGAAGTCAGGGCCAAAAGTGTCTTTGATCCAAGATGGGGAGGCATTTGCAGTCTGTCCAGCTCATAGAAGCTGTGTTCTGTGATTCATTTCCCTTTTTCTGTACATTGTGAAAGGAGAATGGCCTTTGAATATAAACATCCACTGGATGTGTGTGGTTTGCATGAGATTTGTGCTTGCTGCAAACTGTATGCATGTTAGAACCAAAGTCATTTAAAGCCAGACAGGCTCCTCTTAAAATGACAACTCCTAAGCGAAGGGCTCTTTAAGTTCAGGTCTGAACTTGCTCTTTACAGAAGAGAAAGAGCCAGAAGCATAAGGCAGAGGATCCAGAGGAGTTTTTCCACTTCCCAGAGAAAAGCAAGACAGAAAATCGAATGTCTTTTCTGCAGAGTGAAGGGGGGCTGACCAGAGACCTCCTGACACACCTCTGCTGAGGTTTAGCATGAACACTGCTCCACCTGGGAGCATCCTTACCAGATCAGAGGGCGTGGCAATGGGCTGGGGAAGGGCTCCCAAGGTTGTTCTGGTGAGGAAATGTCAGAAATGGCAGCTGCTTGTGGTGGGGGGAGAACATCAGTTAGTAGAGAAGTCTGTGCCTGCAATAGGTTTGTGTCCCTGGAACAAACAGAAGGATGAGAGAGCAAGAAAAGAAATCCAGGGATGAAATGAGAAAACAAGCCAAAAAGTCATTTGCAAGAACAAATTTTATTTGACTTCTTTTTTCTTATGCTTTTTTTTTTTTTGTATTGGCTACTTTTTCTTTTGAGCACCTTGAGTGTCATTAAAAATCCATTTATTTCACTAGCTTGTGCCACAGACTAATTATATCCTGCACAGAGCACACTTGGACTTGACTACCCAAAAGGGACAGCTTGAACTGGATTCCTTAAAAAGAGTTTTTTGTTTTATAGCACTATAAAAAATAATTATGTTATTCAGTCCCAAACTCACAATAACCAAAATTGTAAGGCACAAAATCCTTTCCTCCAAATTTAGACTTGTTAATTTTCTCTCCTATTTTTTTTCTCTTTACGCTGGTCTCAGATGATATGTCATTTCTTCATCTGGAGGTGTCCTGAATTAATAAACTAATTGTTATTATTATTATTATTGTTAATATTGTTATTATTTTAACAGTAATGCTGAGGTTGGCCAAAACTGCATAATTGATTCAGGAAAACACTGATTTAAAAATAACATTTAATCTGATATTCTATGTCTCTGAGGCCCCTTTCAGTGAGGTATTCTGAAAACATAAATGCAGGCAGTGTTGGCCTTGAAAGAATTTATCTGCTGGAGGCTCTTATCCTACTGATATAAATCGGTGCCCAGATGGAACACACTTTATCTT